GTGTGTGTGTGTGTGTGTGTGTGTGTGTGTGTGAGTCACTGACCTGTATTTAAGCCTCTCTCCTCGCTGCTCGCTCTCATCAGTCACTGTGAGCTGGACGCGTGCGCACACTCGCTGTAACGCCTGATTGATGGGACGCTGAAGCTGGTCTGAGATCAGCGATGCTCTCTGTAATCTGACGCTGTCGGGTTTCACTCGGGGACTAAGTGTGATCGAGGACGTTGACTCTTCATCTCATTCGTGTGCTGAAACTCACCTTTTATAAATATTTCCCCATCGTTCAGACAAGAATGGACCGTCTGAACAGAAACGAGCTGGAATCTGATTCTAATCCCATGAAATCAGCACATGAACATGAACACACACTCACTGCACACATCATCAAATTCTAGCTGAATGAAAAACTTTCAACATTTTACTGTCTGAGGCTCAAAGTCACGGAGACGTGCAGATCTCTCCTCACATATGTGATGTTATAGATGGAGCTGCAGCTCAGCTAGAGCAGCTTTGCATGATTCACAGCTTAAAATAATCCTTCTTTATCTCGTGCTAGGCCTCACTTCATTTGACCTCCTGTCCTGGTGGTCCTGATGATGGTGCTTTAGACGCTTTCTCTGGTCTCATCATCTTTTTCTTCTTCTGTGGTTTCAGATAAAAACAGGAAAGACGACAGCATCAAAACCAAGACAGAAATCTACGGTAAGCCCCACCCCCAGCCAAGCCCCGCCCCCAACTCTGCCCGCTCCTGTCTCACAGCAACACAAATCCTAAAGCACAGATTTCTTCTTCTCTCCTTCCAGCTGTCCCCAAGCCTGGTGAGGGGGAGGGGTTTGAGGACAGCCCCGCCCCCTGTCCAGAGGACTACTCCCAGTTCTGCGAACACGGTATCTGTGAGATGAGACAGAACCTGCCCACCTGCAGGTAAGCCCCGCCTCTCTTCAAAAATAAAAGTCTGAAACCGGCTGATTTTTGTGTTTTTAAAGTTTTTCTGTCAACACGAAAATCTTGATCTGTGTTCGCTGTCAGAACAAAGACAATGTCGTGTGTGTGTGTGTGTGTGTGTGTGTGTGTGTGTG